CTAAGGGGCCTCTCAGCACTTCCTGTAGCATGGAGTAGAATGATAGCAGGACCATTCCTTTCAGCTCTCACATGCCTTGAAGTCTTTGAGGAAGAGCAACTCATGCAGCTCTGCCCAGGCCAGTTCCCACTCTCCTTGTACTCTCCAGCTGCCTCCTTATACCTAGGGTTATAACTGAAGCTTAACTACTTTCCACAATATTCACTATACCACCCATGCTGATGGCTCTCATTGTCGTTGTCATTAAGTGCTATAGAGTTGGTTCCAACTCCTAGAGACCCTGAATGGGTTTCATAGACTCTGTGAATTAAACAGTCTCAGGGATCTTGAGCTTCTCTAGATAGACCCACGAGATGATGGCAAAAACTGTCCTTGCTCCTGGTTCTAATTGAATAATAATATACTGTAAATAACCATCATTTTCTCCAAGAGCCCAGGCTCATTAATGAACTGAAGGTAAGCAGGAACGAGCTGTTGCACTAGCCTTTGAATCAAATCAGAGGCAGTTGAGGTTTCAAGTCTTTCTTTTTCTTTTTTTCTCTTCTGTGACTTTAAAGGGAGCAGTGCTATTCATTTTACTGAATTCTCTTTTATAAGCACCAAATCTTAATAATCCAAGTCAATTTTCTGAACAGAACTTCCCTCAGGAACAATAAAATGATGCTCATTCTTCCAAACATCCACATGGAAGGTCTACCAAAAGCAAAATAAAAATAGAATGGCAGGGGGTGGGGGGAACAGCCAATACAGAGTAACAAAAATCACATTCTAGGGATTCAGTGCACAGTGCACGAAGAAGCCTCAATTGTACTGCTGGATCATCCTTAAGCTGACTGTCAAAAAAAAAAAAAAAAAAAGAAAGAAAGAAAGAAAAAAAATTACACACACCCTAGCACATCAAAATATACATTTTCCATTTGCTTTTTTTAAAATTAAAAATAATTTTTAAAAAATCCCTTAAGGGATTCACAATTAATTGCCTGCCTCGTTGTGATACCATTTATGATCAGTGACATTCATCTTCAAGGCTTAGTCTTCCACACAGTGTAAAATACCCACAATTCTAATTATGAAGGGTCACAGATGATCTCCTTGGAGAAATCCACAGGACAACACAGGTGCCTAAGCTGTTCTTTGTAGAGCGACAAGACTTCTGTCAAATTGACACAGTTCCCCTGTGTAAAACATTTCCCATCCTGTTTCAATACTTTCATTGAAAGGTCAAGAATCGGTCTGAGACACTCCCATTTGGAATCTTCCTCTGGAGACATAGAGATGGGACAGCTGTCAAATCATTAATCACGTAATCAAACTTCTTCCCCTCTTTGGTGTACCTCTTCAGTACTGGAATGCAGTCTTGTATTAGAACCTGATAGCATTCTCCTTTAAGATTGTCTAAGACTTCACCCCATGTTTTTCACATGTATTTCTTACATCCATCAATCACCATTTGGTCAATCTCTACCATAGTGACCATCTTTGGTTTCAGTTTGACTATTTCACATAATATGCCCCCATCTCTGCCTCCCAGAATCAGTACACCTTGGCCAGTGTAATCTTCTTTTCCACTGCCCATGATGGTCCGGGTATATGCCAGATCACTCTTTACCAAATTGACAACCCCACTGAGGATGAGAATATTTCCAAATAGCTTCGAGCGTAGAATTTTAATGTTCTGGTAAGGTAAATCATCATACACCACTTCATCGATGTCATATTCCACCAAGCGTCCATCAGCAATGAGTCAATATCTGTCGATGGTCCCTCCTGTAACTATGGGTGGTAAGTGCTTCATCCTTGTACTGTCCTGACTCAGTTCATTCATTCTTTCTTCCACTTTGTTCAAAAGACTGTCCATTTCTTTGTTGCCTTGCACACCATTGTCGTAACTCTGAAGATCCAACAACACCAATCCATGGGGGTAAATTCTCAAATTGGCAAAGTTGCCATTTTTGTTGGTGTAGGTTGCTAAGTAGCCATGGTCCTGCCAGGTATGCACTGACTCCGTCATTCCCTGCTCCTGGAAAATGAACTGGATGCCTTTCAGAATGGTCTCCCCATCAGCTTTGGCACCGAGCGTGAAGTCCAGGGTGCTGTGCCATGCTGCTGCCATAGTGCAGCGAGGCCCCGGGCCATGCCTGGAGGCGGCAGCAGGAGACCTCAAGTCTTTCTTGTGTACAAGTCAGTCCTGTTGGGGGAGGAACAATCAAGAATCCTACAGAAATGAGGCTGCAGATACCGTGGTGGAATTGTCAATGACTTACACATGGGCTACCACAAGTTGGAATCCACTGGCAACTGGTACTGGTAGGTAGGGCCCAGAGGAATGGAGGGGCTGCCTCTTCCCTGCTCACTCCTACATGTCCCCATTCTTACCCCTCTAACTGGGAAGCTCCCCTGCTCTGACCAATAGTGCTCAATTCCTCCTTTCAAGAGGAAGGACATTCCCTCTTTGACATTACCTTGTGCCAAACACAACATCAGGGACTTTTGCAACTGATCTCATTAAATCCCCAGGAAACTCCTGGCAGGTAGGTAGCATTATGGAAACCATGTTCAGAGAAAGTATGAGATTTTTCCCAAGCTCATGCACTAATCAGGAACACATTCAGGATATGAATCCATGTTTATCCAGCTCATAGATAAGAGGTTACCTTGAATCCACTCTTGGTTTCCTAACATGCTGCATAGTTTTGGAGGGGTTTTCTCTCTGGGGCTCTGCTCACAGGCTTAGGGCATTGGGTGGGGTAGCTGCAAGGACACAGGACTGAAGCTGTAGGCTTGCAATAAGATCTTCCGGGGTGGTGGTGGTGGGGTTTGTGTGAACCCTTGGAACATGTCTCTCGAGAAAGCTAACAGCAGCCTGAGGCTTTAGCTGGGGATGTGATATTTTCTCTCCTGTCCTGTTAGAATGCTGCTCATAGTGCAGCCACAAAAAGGGGCTAGTGAATGAGGCACAAAGGAGTGTAGAATTTTAATGTTCTGGTAAGGTAAATCATCCACACTGTCTGCACCCGTCCTTCTCCTGGTTCAACTGTTTGAGAATATATTTTTTCCTTTTTTTTTTTTTCCTGGGGAGCTGTTCTTCCATCCACTAAGGACTTGTTGTCATGTGCTGTGGAGTTGATTCCGACTCATAGTGCCCCTGTACTGGGTTTCCAAGGCTGTAAATCTTTATAGGAACAGAAAGCCTCATCTTTTTCCCACTAAGGACTAGCATTATATAAAATTGGAGGACTCACAGCCTGGGAAGTGGGAACAGTAGGAGAGTAGGAGGTATGAGAGGGAAGAATGAAGGGGTAGGGGCTGGGTGTTGCCATCTGGCAATGATTCAGCAGGCTAATTATCAAGGACACAATTTTTTTTTTCTCCATGTGTCTGCTTTGTTCTCCAGCTAGGTTCTTTCATGATTCCAAGATGGTCATCCACAGCAGGAGGAAGTGGCATGTTGCCTGATTCAAGTTCTATGAGAAGAGAGACTCTCTCACCTTGTGGTTCTCTTTTAAGGGAAAGAAACCTTTTCCTAGAAGCACTCCTGTATATCTCATTGGCCCAAATTGAATCACATGCCTATTTCTGAACCAATCTCCGGCAGTTTGGGTGAAATGACATCATCTGAAGTGGAAAGGATTTGAGGAAGTCACTACAATGCATATTAAAAGTCACATTTCCCAAGAAAACCTCAGGCATAATTAAAATGAATGGCCCAGTACTAGGGGGCAGATGAGGAGGCGTCAAAAATTTCCTGGAATGAAAAAATGCCATTGCATTTTCCCATGAACTTTTGAAGCCCTATTAGGTAGCTAGAAAATTAGCAAGTAGAGGGTACAAGACAGCAAATAATACAGAATGCCCAGTTCGGTTTGAATCCCAGAGATGATGTGGGTACTTTTTTAGTATAAGTATGTCACAAACAATATTTGCTTACCTATATGTGTACCAATATTTAGTATATACTTCAGAAAAAAACAATTATAAATTGTTTATCTGAAATTCACATTTAACTGAATATCCTATATCTTATTAGTTTGGCATGAGGGAAACTACACAGTTTCTGGCATAAAACATATCCAAGTTTATATGGTAAAGCTCCTATTTTCCAGTGATCTGAGCAAGTGCTTTAACTTCTCTTCTCTAAAATGGGGTGATGGTACTTACCTCATTGAGTTGATATGTGGCTTGAACACAATTTAATAATATTCTTTATGTAAAATTCACTTCAGTGAGGTAATGCAGGACTTAGTATATTGTCTGATATACAACATTTAAGAACACTTAGCCATTTTAAAGTAATTGTAAGGCATTATAAGGCATAATCGATCTTTAGTAAATATTAGTTCGTTCCCGCTACCCTCCATTCTTGGTCAAAATCTTTGCCCCATTGTGAAGTTCTTTTGTTGCGATTTCTATTAATAAAACATAAGTCCTGGTGTGGCCCTGTAGGATGAGCACTGGACTGCTAACTGAAAGGTCAGAGGTTCAAACCCACCAGACACTCCTTGGAAACATATAGGAGGTCACTGTGAGTCACAGTTGACTTGATGGCACTTAACAACAACAACACTAAGAAATACATGGACAGGCAACTAGCTTTTCTCACAAACTAGAAGTGGTGGTGGTTATGGTGGGGGTGGGTAGACAGAAGAGGACATTCAGAGCTGGTATGGGTTGGAGAAGCCCCAGAGGGTAGGCCAGTGGCAGTGGAGACCCTCAGAAAGCTTGGGGTCCACAGAGACTGTTTGTCATTGTTTCCAGAAATGGGTCTGGCAAATGTTTGGTAATGGGACAAAAAGTTATAGGGCTCACAGTGGACTAGGAATTTAGGATCAGTATCGAATCTGAGTCCTGCCTTACTCGTTGAGCTCTGTGGAGTATAAAGTGGTTTTAAAAGGAGAGCAGGACTAGAAGGCCTTTCCTCCACACCTGCCTTGGTTCTTGTTGCTTGGACCTATTTGAGCTCTCAGGGCTTTCTGTGATCACATCGTGCCATCTCTTTCCAGGCTCCGGACCGCTGTGGGCAGGCCTTGCTGCGCATTGGGATTAACATGATGGCGCTACCTGGAGGCCACCACCTGGACTCCATCCCCCTGCCTGGTCAGCGGTAAGCCCTATAGTCACTTCTCAGGGCCAAGCCTACCACGTGGCCCAGCCTTGTGATCTTACCTGAGACGACAGTTGACCCTATTGCTCTGTGCACTGTCCTGGAAGAAGGCTAGGTAGATATCAGTGAAACTGGACACTGGGACACAGTGGTATCAGAAACATCCCGCCCCCAAGGAGCTGCTGCTTAAAGTGATGAAACAAAGAACGGAGTAGGAAGTGCTGAGATAGGGGACCCCAGTGAGATATCTAATCCAGCGTGGGCCAGGAACCAGAGTCACCAGAAGCCTTTGGGGTTATGATGGACTTTTCTGAGCTTCTTGGAAGATGACAATCTACACTTAAATTTCTTCTCCTTCCCTCAGAATACCAGGGAGAGAACCGAGCACAGAGCTAATCCTGGGGCAGTACTTGTTGCTCTGAGTTAGGCAATGTGGAGTAGGGAGGGAGGAGTATATTGAGCACAAGTTGAAACTGAGGTGATGAGGTAAGAAGTGCTTGGGGATTTCAGTCTGAAGAAGGGACTCAGGGTCACTGAAGGACATCTGAAAGGCTCGGAGAGTTGGCTGTCTCTGGAGGCCTGAAGTAGAACCAGTGGTGGCGGTATCAGGTTGGCAGATCTGTGTTGACCAACTTGGCTTGACTGGTTCTATTCCAGGTTTAGCAATGGAAGTCATGCATCCCCAGAAACCCCTCAGTTGTGGGAAAACTGGGACATTGGGTCTTAAACGAAACCTGCTAATACAGGTTTAGTTCACGGAATATCTTTGCCTTCTCAGACTGCTTCACAAGGGTTGCTCCCCAATGTGAGTGTGCTTACAGGACTTGGGAGATGGAGAAAATGTCTTAAAGCTTCCAGTTATCCTTCTTCTTGTTGAGACACTTTGATGGGGCTGTTTTGAGGCAACAGTATCTATGTGGCTCTTGTCAGAGTTTGAAATCATTGCCTTGTATTTATTTTCATTTGTTTTGTAGTGTCTTGTTTTATATATTACATGCATCACAGACATCTTACTTTTATTCTCTCTTTAACTCATCAAGTCAGAATCTGTTTGATAACAACTGTTTTGTTTTTTAATTTACTATGTCATTCATTTTTATATTGTTTGCTTGGGCTTTGAGTAATTTTTCAGTGTGTGTTGTTTTGAAAATCATAAAACACTACTAAATGTTTGTTAAAAGTCCATTGGATCTGAGTTAGTCTCTCTATCATAACATTCATTCATGTTAATGCTAGAAATGTAACTAACAATTTCTTGTGCAGCCTGAAGCTGAGAATCATGGGTCATAAGAGGTATTGAGAATCCTTCCATGCAGTGTCTCATCTCTAAGATAAATCTCAGAGAATATGAGCTGCTGACAATTCACAATATGTGAGTGTACTCAGAGAGGAAGTCTGTACTGTGCCTGGGATGGCTGGTAACCTTCCACTAGATGAACAGACATGGTCAGCTATTCAGGCATGCCTGCCCGCATACCACTGGAGATCACTGTATGCTAGTGCCCGATATTTTTGATGCATTCCTTACTAGCCATGTAGCTTTGGGCAAATGCCTGAACCCCATGAGCTCCTCAGTTCCCTCATGTATAAAATGGGGTTAATAACAGTACTGGGGAGGGGATGGTATGCAATTGTGGTTCAGTGGTAGAGATTTTGCCTTTCATTCAGGAGACCTGAGTTTGGTTCCTGGAAAACACACTTTTTACACTGCTGCCATCTCTCTATCTCTCTGTGGAGGCTTCTATGTTGCTCTGATGATGACCAAGCATCAACAGAGCTTCCAGACAAAAATGGACTGGGGAGAAAGGGCTATATTCTACTTCTGAAAACCATCCAATGAGAACCTTATGGAATATAACAGTTTGGTCTACAGCTGATCATGAGGTGTCTCAGGACCACGCAATATGTCGAATCTCAAAGATTCAGGGGCCAACTTGATGACAGCTAACAATTGTTTACTGTCCAACTTTTGCAGGCATATGAGGTTATTGAAAATATCCTGGCTTGGGTCAGGCTCACCTTAGTCCTCAAACTGACATTCTTTGTTCTTCAACACTTGAAAGCAGTCTTGTGCAGCACATTTGTCTAATGCAATATGTCATTTGATTTCTTCACTGCTGTTTCCATGAGTGTTGATGGTTGATGTAAGCAGAATGAAGTCTTTGACAACTTCAATCTTTTATCTATTTATATGGCCCAGTGGTGACATTTTTTATTTTCTTTACATTTCTTTACTACAACAATAGTACCTACATTATACAGGCATAAGGGGAGCTATTGTTTATTGAGGACCTACTCCTTTATAGGCTGAAAGGGTGTATTTCATGCAGGTGTACTTAGGGAATTCTTCCAGAAATCCCTTTCCTTATGTCTCACTCTAGGCAGGTGACCTCGCTGAAAAAATAGGAAATCCCAGAGAGACATTCACAGCAGCTTAATATTGAAACCAAGAGAAAGTAGAATTGCTCTAGATCAGGGCTGGGGAACGACTGGCCCACAGGCCATATAAGCTCCTCGGAATCATTTGTTCTGGCCTTGTCAAGGCAACCACAGTTTCAGCCATCCACAATAGGGGTGAGCTAATTCAATGTTTGACCAAATATAGCAGGCTAATTTTCAAATTGATAATTTTGTTGGTCTGTGAATGATGTTATACATTTTGGCAGAAAAAGGTTCCCCAACCCTCCAATCACATTTAACAACAACAATAACAACAACAACAACAACCCCGGTGATAGATGAAGCAGAGTTGCTTTCCCCTGACCCCGTCCTGCCCAGGTAGCAGGTTGGAAACTAGAGACAGGAAGGCACCAACAGCTCTGGAAACAGGGCTTTGGTTCCCTTCCACAGAGTCACTTCAGGCTCTGGGATTGGTCAGATCAGAGCCTGTCCTGGAGTGAGAAGCCATCTTCATGGGGCAGTATGCACAATGGCATGATAATTAAGGTCTTGTGTTAACTTTGTTCTGGAAGTTGTTCAGTGATTTCACAGCTAAGATGTAGTTATCACCCCATGATGAGAGCTAATAGGATGCAATCGTATATCTTGAATTAATGTCTTTTGAAATGTATTACTTTGGTATTTCTATTATAGCAGCACTACGTCACTACGAATCTGGTACCAGTAGAGTGAAGTGCTGAGCTAACAGATACTTTAAATGCAGAAGCGGTTGTAGAATTGGATAATGAAATAGAAGAGCACTACACTACCCAAGAATAAAATCCTAGATCGCCTAGAAGAGGCTACTGGTGGAATTATGGGTGTCAGAGACAGTTCAAATGAGGGCTCAGAAAGCGGTGATATGAGTTATAACACTAGACAAGGTACAGATAGTTAGAGAAACTGTAGCAGCAGAACCAGGAGCATGGGAGCCAACCCGCAGAGCAAGCGAGCTGAGTACCTTCATTCAGGAAGCTTCCTAGCAGAGTGGGGGTGCTTCTGGACACTTACCAGTATTGCTGAAGAGCTTTGTGATGCTTGCTTACTGGAGCAGACACAAGGCTGACCTGTTTTAGAGACAAGAAACACGGGAAGCAGAGCTGTCTCGGTCTCAAAAGGTAGGCCCATGATCTTGGGACTCAAAAATTGGAACCATGATTGCTGGGAATTCTAAGGGTGGGGGTCACAGTTTCCTAGTTTTCAGAGTGGGATCTTTTCCACCAATGTGGTTCTGGAATGTGAGGCTGCCATTAAGATGGGGCCTCTGCCCAAAGCTGAGAGGGCAGAAGAACAGGCCTGCAGGGGTCAAGGGAGGTGGGGTCACCATTCAGATGAGCTCGAAAATGAGGCTATCCAAAACCAAGGGAGCAGAGTTGACATTTCAGTGGGCCTGGAAGGCAGAAGTTAAACCCAGAGTTCATGGCCAATACTCAGAGTACAGAGAGAAAGAGGGCTATTGCCAAGATCAGGGTTGGGAAACCATTTTTCAGTCAAACTTTATAACATCATTAGCAGGCCATGCAGAAATATCAAGTTAAAAATTCGCCTGCTATATTTGGTCAAACATTTAATTAACTCACTTCTATTGAGATGGCGGGAACTGCAGTTGCCTTGGCAGGGCCAGACCAAATTATTCCAAGGAGTTTATATGTCCTTCTTCACTGTCCAGCGTTCATATACGTATGAGGTTATTGAAAATACCATGGTTTAGGTTAGGTTCAGCTCAGTCCTCAAGCTGATATCTTTGCTCTTAAACATTTTAGAGCGGTATTGTGCAGCAGATTTAACTAATGAAGTATGTTTTTTGATTTCTTGGCTGCTGTTTCCATGAGTGTTGATTGTGGATTCAAGCAAAATTAAGTCTTTGACAACTTCATTGATCATGATTTTATTCATTGGTCCTGTTGTGAGGATTTTTGTTTTCTGTACATTGAGGTGCAATCCATACTGAAGGTTTGGTGGCTTGCAACAGTAAATATTTCAAGTCCTCTTCACATCCAACAAGCTAGGTTGTATCATTGCATAATGCTTTTTAAATGAATCTTCTTCCTGCCATCCTGATGCTACATTCTTCTTCATATAATCCAGTTTTTCTGATTATTTATTCAGCATATAGGTTGAATAGGTATGGTGAAAGAATACAATGCTGGCAATACCTTTCCTGATTTTAAACCATTCAGTGTCCCTTGTTCTGTTTGAAGCACTGCCTCTTGGTCTATGTACAGGTTCCTCATGAGCACAATTTAGTATTTCGGAATACCCATTCTCCACAATGTCGTCCATAACGTGTCATGATCTACACAGCTGAAAGCCTTTGCACAATCAACAAATCACAAGTAAACACCTCTTTGACATCCTCTCTTTCTTTTTTTCCCCCCCTTTTTAACTTTTTATTTTGAATTTAGTGAAGGTTTACAAAGCAGATCATCAGTTTTACATTCAACAAATCATATATTACATTTCATTACATGCAATCCCCTCCACGTGCCATAAGTATTTACCTGTATTCACTTGAACCCTTGCATTCTTTCCTGTGTCTTCTGCTACCTTCATGTTTCCTC